AAGAACATCCTTTGCTGTGCCTTTATAATAATGGCTGTAATGTTAAATGTCCATTTCAGGTCTTGGGAAAGTATAGAACCCAGGAACTTGAAGGACTCTACCACTGATACTGGGCTGACGAGTATGGTAAGGGGAGGAGTATTAGAAGGATTCTTCCTAAAGTCCACAATCATCTCCACAGTTTTAAGTGTATTCAGTTCCAAGTTATTATAACCACACCACAAGACCAGTTGTTGAACCTCCCGTCTATATGCTAACTCTCCAGCCCCAGAACAAGTATACTCTCCAGCCCCAGAACAACTCCTTAGTGTAGGGGAAAATATATTGCATAAATATTTGAAAAGTGATTATGATGATGTGCCATCAAGTCATTGTCAACTCTTAGCAACCACATCAGTATATTTTTTCCATAATGATCTGTCCCTAACATGATTTTTCAGGTCTTCAACAGTGCACCCATCGCCACTGGAATTGAGTCCATCCATCTTGCTGCCGGTCATCTTCTTCTCTTTCCTTCCACCTTTCCCAGCATTAGAGCCTTCTCTAGAGAACTAGCTCTTATTATCTAAATAGTTCATCAATCTTTTGTAAATACAGATAAAGGTGGATACCATAAATCAGATAAATACATTTAAGGGAGATAAACTATCTTAAGGTTATACCTTTGTGAAGAAAGTAGTTTGAAATAGCTAAAAGACCAGAAAACAAGATAGAAAAATAAAGTGTCCTAAAACTGCAAAGTGGGCAGGGCAGAACAGAGAATTTCTATCCTTTCCTTCCATAATTGCTGAATTTGTACTGTTTCTTCATTAAGAAAACAGAATCTTGCCTTTTGAATTAAAACAGCTTCTCAAGGAAACTTATAGGAAATTAACAGACATATTAAAAACAATAAATAAAGGCAACAAGCAGCAATAAAATAACTAAGATGGTCCCAACTTTTCTGAAGTAAATTTTCTAATAGAAGATCTGCATGTAAGGGGAGAACTTGTTTTCCCTGAGAACAAGTTACAAAGCCTTGGTGCCACCATAGAAAAGTGCCTATTTCCACCACTGCTTATTGTAGATACAAATAACAAAGGAACCCAAAGAAGGGCCTCTGAAACAAATCTTAATAACTGGGTAGATTCATATGGAAGATCAGCTATAGTGTAATCACAAGATATGCAAGCTTGTAGATCAAACCTGCCAGCAGTTTGATTGTAAAATAAGGTTGACATTTTCAGTTTGATGGAACTTGTGATTTCAATGGGGAGAGGTGGTTGGGAGACACCAAGACTGCAATAGCTTGCCATTTTGGGGGATAGCATAGGAGTGAGAAAGTATGAAGACAGTTTTGCTAGATCTATAAAGTAAAATATTTAGAATATTGGGGTTTTCAGGCATCAACTATCTGCTAATTATACTGAAATTTAATCCTATGGTTTTGTAAAAATAACAAAAAAGTTACTCACTAGAGAAAGTAACATCCAGTACAAGGATGGCATACTTGATCTTGTGATTAGTAATGTAAGTATCATAGACATCAAAGCCCAAAAAGAGGAGACACTGGAGAAAAGAAAGTACACCAACTGTGATGCCATAGCAGCAGGCTGCCCCATTATCATTCAAAATACAATGTAGCTGGGAAGAGGTTGTCAAGTTTTGATATCCTTCAGTCACCAAGGAGGCAAATATAACAAGAGAGAAAACCTGAGGCAAGAGAAAGAAATGGACACGTTAAATACAAATGGCTGGATACTGTGTATGTTCCATGAAAGATATTTTTTGTAATCAACTCTTGTAACTGATCCAAGAATCAAAGTCTTTTGAATCTGCACTGAGACAAAAAGAAAAATCAAATTGATCATTCTCCTCTTCTATAGCCAACATTAGGAGCAGGGAAAGTTTTTTTTTATTTCCAATGGCCAGAGCTTTACCTCTGCCCCAAATTCAAAGCACATATACTTTTATATCACAACTGAAATAAGGAAGAAAAACAATGGCGGAGAATGGCTGGTGTGGGTCTTCCGGGCTGTGTGGCCATGTTCTGGAAGTTTTGTTTCCT